AGAAGCATCTGTGGACCAGCTAGATCCTGTGCGCAAAGATGCCTTAGACTAACTAGACTAACAACGCCTTTGTATAAGGCCTATCTTCTTTGTTTTTTTTTATTGTACGCACTTATTTTTCTTAGTATAAGATTAGAAGAGAAGGATATGTAAGAAAGACAGTCTATTTGTCTAGTACACAAGAAAAGAAAAGCCACTAGCCCCCCCCAGAACACACCACCCCTCACGTGTGGTGGTTATAATGCAGACCACAGCTCTGCCATACGCACAAGGCGCAGGCATTAGCCTAGAAGTTAGCTAACACACAACACTTAACAAAAGAAAAGGCACTAGTAGTGCTGCCACAACAACAAGCACACAGAGTTGCTAGGACCTAACTGCAACTCTAGACTAGGACCGCACAGAAGTACCCCTTACAACGCACAACCTTTGCTGCCTACAGCTGCAGATTAGTGCTAGCAGGTAAGACAACATTAATATTATAAAACAGTAAAGCTACTACATACTGCTTCTTAGCCTATTTATAATTAGCATTTTATATAAGAAGGAAGTAGAAGAGCTAAAGAATTTATATGTTTATGCTAAGACACTAAATAAACTGCTAATTAGCAGCAGAACTAGTTAAAAGGGTAACGCAAATGCGCTCTAGGCTGCTAGACTACACAAGGACGTTAAAGACGCCCGCACTAACAGCGCTAGAGGTAGAGAAGAAAGGCTAGAGAGACATCTCTCTCTCTCTCTCTCTCTCTATGTGTGTGTGTGTGTGTGCAGGCGGGAGTATCTGTTACTGTTAGCACTATACAAAAAGAGAAAAGAGCTAGGGAATAGTACAGTAGGGCTTAAAAAGTAAAGGATAAAGAAGAGAAGGTAAAGAAAAAAAGAAAACCTTATTATATACACCTCTCTACGCACCTGCCTACGCAAAGATCCTACACTATTCTAGTACAAAACCCTACATAAAACAGTTTATACACTACTAAATTACTTATAAGGCAAGCGCATAAAGGCTAGATAATAATAGCCTAAAATGCTTTACACTATTTATAAAGCTATCTACATAGCGCAACTAGCTTATTTTAATGTACAGCATTACTAAGGCAAGTTCTAATAAATAGAGTAAAGTAAAGGCAGAATGTAATTAGATAGACCTACACAGACAGAAAAGAGGTAACGCGTACAGAAGGTAACTTTTTAGATAAAAAGAAAAGTTACTAGTGTCTGTACGCAGCAGCAGCGTTATAATCTAGATATAAGCAATCGCGCACAAGCAGGACCACGTATCTATGTCACATAATGCTTGTGCGTGAACCTCTGTGCGTGAACATCTAGATATCCCCCTTTTCCTCTGTATAGAGGAAAGACAAGAGCAATAGAACTAGAAACATGTTGCCCTTACTTTACCTACCTTGTACGCTGTGCACACTGTACACCACTCTTACTCTTGCTACTTAAGTGCTTATACTATAAGCAGCTAGCTGTTAGAGCTTATTCAACAGTAGTATAGTTAATTACTTTTTTTTAGTAAATTATATAAGTACTACTATTATTATCTAGCTACTAGTTTATACAGCTTTATTATTTATCTTAGTGTGCATCTTACACTATCTTCTTTTTACTTTATATAGTAGTAGAGCTTACTATATAATGCAAAAAATTAATTTACTATTTTTAAAAATAAGTAATAAAATAAAGTACTTTATAAAGTGTAAGTACTTTATTATTACTTTTACTAATTTATAGTTAATTAAATTAACTACTAATTAGTGTTAAATACACTTTTTTAGCTACCTGCTTATAGTATAAGCACTTAAGTAGTAAGAGTAAAAGTAGTGTACAGTGTGCACAGCGTACAAAGTAGGTAGAGTAGGGGCAACATGTTTCTAGTTCTATTGCTCTGTCTTTTCTCTGTACAGAGGAAAAGAGGAAAATCTAGATGTTCGCGCACAGAGGTTTGCGCACAAGCATTATGTAACATAGTTACATGATCCTTCTTGTGCGCAATAACTATCTAGACTATAACGCTGTTGCTACGTACAGACAATATATAACTTTAATAAAATAAGCTTTATAATAAGCTAGATATTTACTAAGTATACTTATACTTTAAACTTTACTTTAAGCTTTAGATAACACTTTATAAACATACTGTCGCGTACAGCTATCTGTCTATATATATTCTTCTGTTGTGTTTGCTAAAAGGTTAACCTCCTAGCTAGCACAGCAGAAGGATATATATAGACGGATAGCTGTACACAACACACCCTCTAGCTTGAACTGTGGAACAAGAGAGGTGAAACATAGTAAAACAACCTTAACACACTCTCTTCTAGCCTAAGCAAAAGAACTTAGAGACAGATCTAGTAAGGTAGCCTCTGTAATAGACGCACTGCCTAAATGCTCTTTGCTAAGCATAGAAATTAAACACACAGTGCTTCGAGATAATACAATTCTATTAGTAGAACAGGGATGCGTAAATTTTTAAGCGCTAACTATCTACACTACGCTGTAAACTAGGCTTATAACTGTTGCGTTTGCTAAAAGGTTAACCTTCTAGCTAGCACAGCAGAAGGATATATATAGACAGATAGCTGTACGCGACACATACTTAGCTAGTTTATGCTAATATAGCCTAGATTATACTTAGCATGTAAAGAATTAGCTATATTAGCTATAACTACTAGCTAAAAAAAAATTCTTACC